CATTTTTCCCTTTTATTTTTTCAACCGCGCCTCTCGCTTTTACAATATCGTGCCAATAAATTCTCTATTCACACTCCCGGACAAGATAACGTGGCCGTGGTCCGCAAAAAGAGGGGGGAGAGTAAGTAAAGGAAAATCGGGAGCGTGAGCTTTCTTGGTGGGATTTTTAACTTATAGGACAATTAGTTATAATGCCCAAATACGCACCCACATATATATAAAAAAACTGAGTCCTCCTGTAGCACGGTGCTTCTTTCGTAAAATGAAAAACAAAAGAAAAAGAAAACAGACGTTTCCGAAAAAAAACAAAAAAAAAAACAAGACAACAACTTTGGTACAAGCCGCGCGACCCGGGAGGAACAAAGCTTATGGCATTTCCTGGGGCCGAGCGAGGCGGGTGGCGTGGCGGTCGGGAGCAGGCCAGGCCGCGCATACCCAACCGCGGGCACATCTCACAAGCAGGCGGAAGAAAGAGAGAATAAAGAAAATGAGGGGGGAAAGTGATACTGGGGAAAAAATCATGAAAATTGAAAAAAAAAAAAAAACGCAATAAGAAGAGGAAGAGAAAAGAATGAGAGATGGAGTATGAAATACGGAAAGGAGACAGATAACTGTTAAATTCCTGCAAAGCAATACCATGCAGAATTGCGAAGGATTTACTTTGCGATTACAAATCGATGCTTTGTAGCTTGTTAAGCATTTCTGGCATTGCTCCGCAATTGCAAAACATCTCTTTGTGATTACAAAGTAAATGCTTCTTAGTTACAAAAGGATCTTAATCCTTATTCGCAATTCCTGCAAAGCAATGCTTTTCAGGACTTTAACAGCGACGGCGCAAAAGAGATGGTCCAAGAGGATGAAAGGCAGGGGGGACGGGGACACTTGCCCCAGCGCGCTGCGCCACGCACTCTCATACCGACATTCAAAAGCGCAACGGCCTGCAAAACTGGCATGTTGAAACGCCATGTCATCACTTTGTGAGGCTGTTTGCAGGTCTGAGAGCCGGGGAGGAGGCAGTCTCCCCCAGCGTCCGACGGGGCCGCACGGAGAGCCAGTCGGGACACAAAGGGCGGGGGGAGTCAGAGTAAGGGGCAGAGAGAGAGAGAAAGAGAGGAAGAGGGAAGAGCCCCATGTGAACCTAAGAGAAGAAAGAGCCCCTGTGAATCCAAGAGAAGGAATAAGAGCCGCCCTGTGAATCCAAGAGAAGGAAGTGCCCCTGTGAATTTGTGAATCCAAGAGGAGGAAGAGCCCCTGTGAATCCAAGGGTAGGCAGCTCGCTGACTTCGGTGCGGCTGTATTGCCTACCCCCAAGGTACTCCACATGGCTTACTTCTCAATCTGTTTTCATACCTCTCTTCCCCCCTTTCTTGGCCTTTCTTTGTCTTTTTTTGACGACCCGCTCTTTAATCTCGTCGAACATTTTTAGCACCTCTATCGACTTTCCGCTTTTACGACTCGCTCACCTGATCCCCAGATGATGGCCCGGTCGTCGATGAAGTACTGGTCGTCCTTGACGGTCCTTCGGTCCCCGCTGAGGACCACCTTCCACTCTGCATGGGCCTTCCCCCTCAGGACGACGCGGACCGCTGCAATAAAAACGGGAGAAAAGAAAGGGTAATTATTAATCAAACCGAAAAGAAACTTTCGAGCGCCGCCGACTTTGGGACAGTAGCAGCGGCAGTAAGACAGTTTTCATTCAGAATTACATTCCACCGAGCCAATAATAATTCTCGCCTCGTCCAATTAGCCGGCCGTCTCCTCTGAGTCCCGCTCGCTCCCCCAACGCCACCGCCGTGTTCGCGCGCATTCCGTCTCCTTTTAAATGTCTCTCTCTCTCTTTTTCTTTTTGAATACCCAGCGCTTCTCTCCAGCACCGACAACTTTCACATTCCCACGTGGCACCGTAACCAGCAGCAGCGCTCCGGGGCCCGAGGGCTGAGCGAGAGCGAGCGAGCCAACAACAAGGGACCCACTTTGCCTGCTTCTCTCTCTCTCTCTCTCTCTCTCTCTCTCTCTCTCTCACTCTCTCTCTCTCACTCTCTCTCTCTTCTGACGCGGCACGATATGGGGGAAGATAGGCGAGGCCGGGTGAGGCTGGGCGAGGCTGGGCGAGGCTGGGCGAGGCTGGGCGAGGCTGGACGAGGCTGGGCGAGGCCCTTCTCCCACAACACCCACCTGTCCTGCGGGCGTGCCTGCTCGGCAGGGAGCTCCGTGCCCCGGGGCTTTGCTCGGCCGATTCCACTCGAAATCACCGCACCCCTCCCCGCGCGCCCTGCACCTCTCCACTGTCCCTCCCCGCCCGCCCCGCGCACCACTCGTCCTTTCTTCCGTCCGCCCCATCCGCCGGCTTGTCCGTCCGCTTTCCACCCCCGATCCGATCACTCCTAAACGTTTGATTCGATTCCCCAGGAGTTTGGGTCGGCTCGGAAGGTTAAAAAACACAACGAAAGAACCTGATTGCGCAAGCGTGATATTGGTTTTATTCTTTCATCTTTTCATCAGCTCCTCTTTTGTCATGAAATATGAGGATGAGCGATCCTATGTATAGATTAATCGAAATAAGTTGATGCCATTTTAACTAAAGCAACATCTGTTTTTGACAAGTTAACAAAATTACAACCATGAAACAGGCAAGTGACATGTGATTCGCATCTTATTTGTTCTTCTCCCCTCCCTCCTTTCTTCTCACATGCGCTCTGCTCTTCCCTTATTATCCCATCCCTTCCTGTCGCAGCGACTTTATGGCATGGTAATGGGCGTTATTTTAAAGAGACCGTCGCAAACCCTGTCTGGTGAGCGATTGGGACGTGAGGGGAAAAGAGGAGAGGGACTAGGCAGCGCGCGCTTATACCATACGGAAGGGGGTAAAGGAGGTCGAGCAGGGCGCCAGAGCCGTACTCTCAGCCTCAAACTCTAATATACCATGTTAACCCACGAAAATAGGAGGAAAAGGTCAAAGGAGCAAGACGCAAACGTGTTTCAAAACGTTCCCTTTACTTTGCTCCAAATAATTTTCAACCTGCTCAACCTCTTTGAATCTTTGCTTTTTTGGGGGTGTATTCATCACACAGAATCCTCACGACACAGAAAATCACCACACAGAATAGCATTTTCTGTGTCGTGAGGATTCTGTGT